GTTTTAAGTCAGTGGCTCAGCAAAACGTAACTCACTGGCATAAGTCAATTTGTTCCTCCCCTAAATTCCTCTCCATTTGTCAACTGCTTCAGGTGTCCTCTTTCCTTTGTCCACCGCGCTCCCATCACCCCCATCTCCCCAATGCTGTCTATCTTCCTCAGAAAGTCATCTCTGTTTCTAAATTCCATACTGTATTCAGTACAAAACAAAACCCCTTAGTCAGCTGAGTTCCTTCTCCCTGCAACAGTGGTTCTTGAAGTGTGTCCCTGAGGCTAGCAGCATCAACATCTGTGGTGGTTAAGGTTGTGTGTCAACTTAGCTAGGCCATGATTCTCAGTGGTTTGGCAGTTAGGATTAGTTTGGCAGTTATGCCATGATGTAGTCATCCTCCATTTTGTGATCTGATGTAGTCATACCTCATTTTGTGATCTGATGTGAGCAGCCAGTCAGTTGAAAAGGGAGTTTCCTTGAGGGTGTGGCCTGCATCCAATATATATGCAGATATTCTGGCAAAGCTTGCTTTCTCTGGATCCTGCACCTGGCTCAACATCATCTGATCTCTGGTCCTTGGGACTTGAACCAGTTGTCTGCCATATTGCCTGCCGATCTTGGGATTCATCTCCCTCCGCAGTCTGTGAGCCAGTGGCCTGCTGTCTTACCTGCCAATCTTGGACTTGTCAGCCCCTGCAGCTGTGTCAATCAGGAGAAACCTCCAGCCTGACACCTGACCTGACCCATGGACTTGGGACTCGCCAGCCTCTACAATCACATGAGCCATTTCCTTGAGATAAATCTCTCTCTCTCTGTAAATATATATGCTCCACTGGTTTTGCTTCTGTAAAGAACCCAGCCTAAGACAGCACTCCCTGGGAACTTGTTAGAGATGCAGATTCTCTGGTCCCACGCTAAACCTACTGAATCAAGAACTCTGGGCCAGGACCTGGCAATCTGTGTTTCAACACAGGGACTGTGATGTGTGATAGCGTTTGAGACCCACCATTATAGGATGTCGTTTGGAGCCATCTATTGTTACCAAAGCGTGCCACTTGACAGTTTCACCTACTCCCCTAAGGGGCTCTTCAGATAGTTCATGTAACACAGATGAGAGTCTTTAGTTATGGAGTGGCACATGGAGAATTCTGATGTTAAGAAAAATAAGATTTTCTCTACTTCATTTCATCAATATACAGCAAATTTCCATCCACTATCCTTGAGGAAGAAAGTAAAGAATGCTTTTTGGTTTGGCAAGGACTTGAGCTTTCAATGTGGTTGGTAGCTGGGTTAGATGCCCCTGTGTATCTATATGCATCCATAAACTTTAGGTAGGAAGGAAGGGGCCTCCTGTGAAAGAGGGCTAGGGGCCCACTACTTTCCTCTAAGGTTCAATGTCATGAAAACATGTCTGATGCTGGGGGGAGCAGTGTGGACTGGTGACCTTGGGCAAAGCAGGGGTAGGTGGCCAGGTTAAGCCTTCAGCAAGCACCAATGCTAAGTTCTCTTCAGTGCAAATGAGAAGCTGGGCCAGCAGGAGGGGCAGCCAGCCAAGCCCTGTATCTGCAGGACTCAGCCACGAGCAACGACTGTCCTATGCGCAGCAAAGCAGTGGTAGTATGCAGGTCTCAGGGACCAGGGGCAAGATTATCAAGAGACCAGTGAGTGTGCCGTTTGGCTCTGAATGGCAGAGATAGGAGGGCTGTTTTAGGATGAAGGATGAACCACCCTTACAGATCTGGGCGGTACCAATGAAGGCAAACTCAGCGATTTGCTGATGTGGCAGGTGGGCGTCTCTGTCCTAGTGATCCAGCTATAGAAAGGAGGTGAGACATCATTGGGTAGGCACAGACTGGTGAGGCCTGCGGTATATGCTGCATTAAAAAGGACAAAGCACGCATTTGATTAAACATCACCTAAACACAATTTTGAAGGAGCTCTGGTGGCGCAGTGGTTAAGCCCTCAGCTGCTAACTGAAAGGTTGGTGGTTGGACCCCACCAGCCACTCCGTGGGAGAAAGATGTGGCAGTTGCTTTCATAAAGATTACAGCCTTGGAAACTCTATAGAGCTGTTCTACTCTGTCCTATAGGGTTGCTATGATTTGGAATCCACTCAACAGCAATGGGCTTTAGACACAATTTTACATTTATTATTGTTAAATTTCCTAAAATTTCATGGTCTTCGTGTAAAGTAGGAGGAAATACTAAAGGAAATATTAGAAACTTTGGGAGGCTCACAGATTGAGATATCTGGGGATTTTGGAGGTGTGGCAAATAGCCTAGAGAATTTAGAGAACTTCCACAAAGAAGTCACCTCGTCTCTTTTTTTCCCATAGCCTCCAGCTAGCCAGTTCTTCTGATTACTGTAGTGGTAATGGTTGAACAAC